GATTATGCAAATATTAAATTTTTTAAAGTGATCATGCTATTTTTAACAAATGTTTTATTTTAACTATTCAAAATAAATCGTCTCATCTCTTATCACAAGATGATACTCTTACTGAACATGCTAAAAAAAATCATGTCCCAATTACAAGTTTGGGGCCTATTCAATTTAATATTTGCACATCATTTTTGTTAAACCATTTTTTCACCCTTTTTTTTAATAAAATGAGAAAAACACATATTTCAATAATCTCTATTTTATTTCTTAAATAAATAAATTACTGTAATAGCATATAAAATTTAATCCATCAGAGAAATTGGGGGATCTAAACTTCTTCTGCCACATGGCTAATGGCTCATAAAAATTAGACAGTTAATGACAAAGTACCTTTGTTAATTTGTTAAACCATATATATGTTCCAAAATAACACGTCTAAAGAAGAAGAGCAACGTGATGACTTTTTAAGATATATATTCTGAATCTCTGATATTAGTTTCGGTTAAGCACGCTTAACTGCATAATTATGAATCTTATGTTAATCATTCTAAATATATCATACATGTCGAGTGGTGCATTGCTAAGATTGCTTGAGGATACAGTGAGGGGACGTTTGGTAGAGGAAATGAGAAAGTGAGTTTTCAAGGAATGTGACCAAAAGTTGTTTAGTAAGTGAAAATATTACCGAGAATATTGGCTCAAGATTATTAATTTTATTTTTAGTTAATCGTCAAATATTACTGAGATTGTGAGATGATTTTACAAAAATAACCTTTATCACTCTCAACTATCTCTCGCTCACTCTCAGTCCACACGCACAGGAAACGCCGGCAACCAAAAGCCACATTGGAATGCAAATGGCAACTGCATTAAAAAACTATTAACAGCAACGCCATTTTTATTGTTGATGCCAAACGCCATTTTTATTTTTTCCTTTCCTAAAACTCCAAATTCACCTCTTTAACTTCAAATCGAATTTGTCTGCAATTGATTGATTTTACAGCTTCACAACTTTGGCCGGAGAGGGTGGATGGAGGTGAAGAGATTTAGGAACAAGTAGAGAGAGAAGAGGAAAGGGTATTTTCGTCTAAAAATTTGAAAATATTTTCCCACCATAGATATTTTCAGAATACCATATCTGAGATGGTATTATTACTTGGAAATTTTCTTCACAAATTAAAACACCAGGAAAGTAAAATATTTATGGGGTGTTTGGTAGAGCAGAAATTTTTTTTAACCAGGTAAATATAATTGGTGGGGAAATAGTTGTAAATTTAGATAAGTGGGGAAATTTTAAAAATGTTGTTTGGTAGACCGAAATATTACCAGGAAAATTGTATAAAATTTACTGTGACTATGTTTGGTTGAAAGTAAAAGATTGATGGGGAAATATGGCAAAAATTCCAAAATACCCCTCAATATTGAAATAGACACGGTGGCAAAGATACGTTGGACACGCAATTTTCCAACGTTCTTCTCCTGTTCTTCGTTTATGTGCCAAATGTGTGTCGGTCGTTTTGTCGAAAACCTCATATTGTTCTTATTCATTCGCTGTGTCACAGGGATCCTGGAGACTGGTGAGCCAAATGTGACCATTGTCTTCATCGACGGTGCCATGCACACCAAATAAGCACCTCCTTCTTCATTCACCGTAAGCCTCCTCCTCCTCCTCTTCTCTCTTTCTCTCTTTTCGTTTGATTCACTTGAAGTCCTATTTGACCCATCCCCAGTTTTTTTTTTTATTAAATGTTGCTTAATTTTCTATTTGCATCATTGTTTTTTCATTATGTATCCCCCCTTTTCAATTTTTGAAATGAATTGTTAGTCTCTTCTTTGCTGGGAACGTACAGATACGATTTATTGAAGGTGGGTATTCCTTTGCCAATTCGATTGGTATCTTTTATTTATGTATAATATAGCTCCACACTATTCATCTGTGATATATGTTTCTGTATGATGCAAAATATTTGAATAAGTTGTTAGTTTAGCAAAACAGAAATAAAAGAGATGCTATAAAAATCAATGGCATTCTGAAATTAGCGTTTACATTCTACCTCAGGCCCCCATGCCCCCTTTTAAAGGGAATGAAAAATGTTAACTTTTTTTTTTGGGTGAAAGAAAAATATGAACTTTATGCTTGGTCTGACCTTGAGTCCATGTACTAATGAAACCATCTTTGGAGAGTTGTAGGAATTCATTTTGAGTTTTGAAAATTTGGTTATTGACGTTGGATATGGCTTTGTGTATCCTCTTTAATTGGAGTAATGGTTATTTTTCTTGCAGGTACCTTGGTTGAGTTTGGTGTTGATGTTTGCATAACCACAAGTTCATAATCTGATGAATGGCTGCAGGGGAAAATTTCTACCAGTGTTTGAGGGGCGCTCTGTTCAAGGTTCTGGGATGATGCGACATGGTTCATTTCCTGGTTTGAGTTCTGCTGCTGCACATCTTCCTCTGGAGTCCCTGCCTCCTCCTCACCTGTTGGAGCATAAAATTACTGCTCAGACAGCAGAAATAAAGCAACTTGCTGGGGACAATCATAGACTAGCAAGTACACATGTGGCCTTAAGAGATGCCCTTGTGTCTGCCACTAAGGATTTGCAAAAGCTGAAGTCGCACATTAGAAGCATACACACTAAAAGTGATATTCAGATCAGAGTTTTACTAGATAAGATTGCAAAAATGGAGGTAGATAGTAGAGCTGGTGATACTGTAAAGAAGAACCTGCAACAAGTTCATATTGAGGCACAGAGCTTGGCAGCTTTTAGGCAGGAATTGAGTGCCTAAATTCAACGAGCCACTCAGGAACTGAGGAAGGCCCATGGTGATGTTAAGAGTATGCTAGATTTGCAGGCTGAGCTGGACAGTTTAGTGCAAGAGCACCAGAGGTTACCGTGAGTATTGAAGTATGTTGGATGGCTGTTTGCACCTGCATGTAGATCAGAACTGATGCTTTGAACTGACACTAAACATACAAGTTCACCACTTTCTATAAGCAAAATCTGCATATTTCCCATCCCTACCTAACAAAAAATGAAGATATGAAAAGTATAAATAAACAATCAAAGAAATTTGTTCATGTTGGTTTTTTCTCGACTTAGTACAGTAATAGAAAGTTTAGGACATGCATGCTACTGACAAGGACGATTCCTTTCATCGAACTATCTAGTATCTAAGCTTGATAGGATCTGAATGCTTTCTAGATATTGCATGTTATCTTTGAAGTGGGTATTATGAATGGCATAATAGTTTGGGTATCCTATTTTCATTGTTATGATATACTAAAGGTGAGATATTACGCACCCAGGTCTTTGTGTGGTATCAATTAACATTTATTAGCTTCCATTAACATTTCTGTTTTATTTAATTTATAAAGGAGTAAATAAAATTAATAGTGTTCTACTGTTTTTGCACTTAACGAGCTGCATAAACCCATCTATAATTGCAGGTGTTATATTACCTTCTCTCGAGCTTCTTACTAATGATGAGACAAATATTGTTTATGCTTTTGGGGTGCTGGTTTTCTAGACCCTTTGACAACAACAAAAAACAAAATCTGTATGTGTTCTTTAGCTTACCTCAGTCCTTTACTAATGATTAATGATTAACCACACACATGTTTCATTTTTTATTAACACAGGGAACAAAAAACGGAGCTAGGATAGGCAGCACCTATGCCAGGACCCTTAAATGGCTTACTATGGTCGAAGCATTCACATGGAGATGCTGTGTATGAAGGGAAATTAATAAATGAAGCAATTGGCATTCCAAGTGAAGAACTTGTGTACAACGACCCAGGACTTGTCTATAGACAACTTATCGTCCAAAATTGTGACCATGCTATATTGTAGTTGTCTTGCTTCATGATGGGATTGGACGACCTTGAAGGTGTAAATTGTATAAAAGCGTCATAGACATGCAGTTTGTAAATTGGAGAGTCATGTACTAGATGTGATGATGTTTGTAATTACAAAATTTTGTAGAGCCCTACAAAGGCATACTTATCATTGAATAAAATCAGAGTTATGCAATTCCTTCACTCTATTTACATTTGTGATGCAACTCGATAATGACACAGTAAACAGAGTAAAATTATTCTGTATATGAAGATCTATTCCGTGGACTGCTCTATTCATTAAATAGCAACAAATTTACATTGTTCACAAACTTAAGGACCCATAAATGCAATTAAGGAACAAATCATTCCATAACAGCTGTATCAGACAACATATTCTCCACTATATACTATTACACATAAGCTTGATGAATGGCGAAGTCTATACTAGGTTACAACTTGTATCTGTATTGTTAAGCTCAACTTAGGTTTCTCTCCATCTAGCTTGGTACTCCTAAAAAGAAAACCCAATGGTATATTTTCCATGGCGCATGGTCTTGTGCTTTTTCTGTCAAGAGGAGGTTGTCCTATATCAGAAATATGTGTGTCCACATCAATGATTTCGGTGAAAATGCAAATTTCACCTCCTTGGGCTAACCTGCATATATATATACAGTGTCATATTTCTGTCTTGCATAGTTCATGTTAGATATGAAAACAACCAGCAAAACATATTAGAACAACATCGAATACAGATACAGGTCATGTGGGCATGGTGTCATACATAGCAGTTATATGATTAAATCTTGGACATTGGCAACTTTCTTCATCCTGCAAGTATAGTAACCTGAGTTAGACATGAAATAAATGAACTTTACAGATGCACGAAGCAAGTGATAGACCTATGAAATGACAGCTTACCATCAGACAATGATAAACATTCGTATTCAGCAGCAACATATATTGGTGACCACAAAAAGACGATAAGCTACACTTCTGAACCATGTACATATAGGATATACATTGTGGAGTTGAACCTGACTTCTAATATTAACAGCATTATGGAGATATTTCACAAAAAAGTAACCACCAGTAGATGCATAAAACTATGATATAAGCAAAATATGGCTATCTATCCATAGCACAACCAAAAAGAATGAAACTGTATCAGTCACTGATAATTAGCCAACAATCCAGCCACCAAAACAACTCGTTTTTCGTGACTGCATTGCATGAACACATCTGTGAGATTGCTATCCCTGCCCAATTGCACAGCAAGATGAACCTGTTGTCCCATTGTCAATTCTTCAAATTTCTCCAGTTCAGTAACAATTGACATACGCCTATGGCTACCATCGGCTTGATGTTGAAAGCAAGATGTCAACTTATCAATACTATCATTTGACTTCTTGTAGTTATGACTAAGATCTTTCATGACATCAACAACTTCCACAAGTAATGGGTCTTCGCTTCTCTGACGTTTCTTACCCCTCGTTGTAGTTGCAGTTGATACAGGAGATGGTGGCATCACCTCCTCTTGTGGGATATCGGGCATTGTAGTATCACCACAAGGTGTGGGGATATAGTCTCCAGTCATGTCAAGGTAATCGTTAAAAGCGATCCCACTCCCTGCATTCATAGCACCATCTCGCTGCATTTCGTGAATTGTATCTGTTGGCCCCTCTGCTCCTTGACCAGATGCAACATCTTTTCCGAAGACAACTCCTAATTGGTCGTAGTGAGGAAATGGTTTATTAAACAGACCCTTACCATTGGGGTGACTCTGCAACAATGATAAACAAACCAGGTTACTTTTTTGATGCAATTAAAATTATTATTTAAAGCCCATAGACCAGGAAATTTACTATTTATGATACAAGTATAAGTAAATAAGAGTAACAACATTACCTTCACCCAGTCATCGAATATCTGCCTCTCCACCTCTATCATTTTTTTTGTATCATTCCATCCAAATCCACTCCCACTGTTAGGCCCGATCATTTCAGTGATCGCATTGTACTATTTTTTTAACAACTTAACCCGGGATGTGATATGAGGGATACCTCTGAGGGTACAACCAAGTATCCTTTGATGCATGAGCTTCTTTATAGCTCCAGAAAAACCAGGTTTAAAACCATTCTCTCCTTTGTAAATCGACCCTATGTCAATGAGACATTCCACAAGCACTTTATCTTCTTCGGCAGTCCACGTATGATTAGCTCGTTTGCTTGACTGCTGGCTGTCTTCAGCCATGATGTTAAATTGCCAACTAAAAAATTGTGTCATATGAAAACATGTAAAAACATGCAAATAATTGTGATCCAAAAAGATATATCAGCTTGCAGTTAAATAAATCTAACATCTATATACCATGCCATGATTGTGAGGAACACACATGAATATTTTAACGTAAATCAACTACGAAGATGATGATTCATAACCTAGCATCGTACATTAGTACAACAAAATAGTAGACTGATCGAAGTTTGTAGTCAAATGTAATGCATAACATTAACAAACACAAAATTAGGACTATGACTTGTTACATAGTCCACATCAAACACGTGTCCTCCAGTTGTTAAACATTTGTCTGGCCATAACGTCCCTCAATTGTGACCACGCATTGGAAGACTCCACGTGTGTGATCATTTCCGCTCCCATATCGTCTTGAACCGGTTGAAGATCCACTTCACGCTCCTCTAATGGGTCATAGGCCATTTCTCTTCTGATATGGTTATGTAGCAAGCAACATGCAGTTATAATCTTGATTTGTGTTTTAACCGGATAGTATGACTTCGACCTAACAATTGCCCAACGACCCTTCAACAGCCCAAAACAGCGTTCAATGACATTTCTTGCAGAAGAATGCTTCATGTTAAAAAACTCCTGGGCTGTTGTAGGTTGTGCCCCGTGTCTCCACTCACTGAGATGATATCTTTGACCTCTATAAGGTGTAAGGAAGCCTTCCGCATTCATGTAACCAGCATCACACAAATAATAGAAACCTGGCACAACAAATTAGAGAAACATTAGACATAAATTATTAACAATTCAGCAAGTGAACAAATTATGAAAAAGGGAAAGTTAAAGTTACATATTTGAGGTACCTTTTGGAACCCTTAAACCATTATTACGAGATATGGCATCTCTTAAGACCCTCGAATCTGCAGCTGACCCTTCCCATCCAGGCAATACATATATAAACTGAGCATCTTGTGAACAAACCCCAAGCACATTGGTTGCTATTTCTCCCTTCCGAGTGCGGTATCTAGCCTTATCGGCTTGTAAAGGATTTACCTTGATATGTGTACCATCCAGAGCTCCCAAACAACCCTAACAATTAAGACAAAAAGATATATTAGTACCAGTTTTGCATTGAATACAACTGAACATCGAGAACTACATATTGTAATAGTACAAATTAGAGACAACATTACCTTGAACCACTTCCATTTTTCATCAGTGGAGTTTTGAGGGACTGGCTCAGGTCGTTTCAGTAAAACTGTATGACAGCGAATGACAGACAAAAACACATTCGTGAACTGCCTGCTAATTGTTTCACCGGACCTCATGAATTGTCTTTTAATTATCCTATTCTTCACATCATGTGCCAAAATGTGAAGAAATATTGCAAGCATCTCTTCCACACCCATATGCTTCGTCGGTTCAAGTCCCCCAACAGTTTTGACTAACTCACACAATTTAAAAAAACACCTTATGTCCATCCTTGTATTCTCTATACAAGCAGTGTCACTTAAATGTATGATTCTATGGAAATTTACTTCCCTTACCCTACCCCTGCTACAAAACTCCCATGTTACTGTCCTCCTTTGATTTCTATTTTTTATAATATCGCGTAACAACAAAGCACACAAACTCATTAACAACATTGTCATATGATTCATAAGTTGCAAATGAGTGATGAGTATAACAATGGCACTAATCTCCATTCCGTTGTTCATTGCCACAATCTAACACAAAGAACGACAACATAATTCAGCTTAAACAAAATAAACAACATAAAAAGAGTTATACAAATGTGGAGACATTCTGATATGACCACAAATAGGAAGTACATGGAAAATTCATCAAAAAAAATTCGATGGAAGCAAAAAATAAATAAACGAAAAGGACTAGCATTGTTGTGGTGGTATTCGGTACACAAGAGAAACCTCTTCTATCCTGCCCTTAATAATACAAGTGACCAAAATCGAAAGCTCTTGAGAATAAAGTCCTAAACTTTTCAAATGAAATCCAAAAACTAACCAAACCCAGAAACTACATGAATTGCAACTTAGCCCACCAACTATCCCATATATCCATTGTAAAGGTACACAGCAAGGAAGCAATCAGGCTCTACATGTATATTATCATACTACCAAAAGCATAATTCCTCTAAGAAGGAAATTTTAAAACTGCAGAAGAAAGTAGTGAACATAATTATGCTTGCATTACATGTCTAAAAAGTATAGTAACAATGGCACAAAACAGAACATTCATAGCCCAAAAATAAGACTAGAAAATGGCAAGTTTGAAGACAAATAATTGCTAAGTGTTTAGAACAAAAGGAAAACAAAATAGAAATGGAGATGCATGCTCATTGAAAGATTGCAGCTTTATCAAGGTTAATGCACAAGGTGGTGGTTGTGGTTGTGGTTGCAAAAGTTGATTGTGAGGCATAAAGCTCAATTCTAGTATGGCTAGAGTGTCTTGTTTGGTTGAGTCAATCAATGATTTATTAAAAAAATTCACAGAAATGAAAAACAAAATGCAAATTGTATGGATTTACAAAAAATTCATGCATTTCATGATATTCAGTTTGGACAAACAAAAGCATGTAGGAGCACATAAACACATCAACCGATTGTGCAGAGAGGCATTTTTTAATCAAAATGTGTAAACCGATAAAGAAACTTGTGTAAACAGATATGTGAGCAAACAACAGTACAATCTATGGAGTCTACATATTACCACTTTATTAGAAGAAATTGTACCTTTAATTTAAAGGGGTATGTGAAATGGATAGGCTGAACCCAAAAAAATAATCAAAATACTGTATGAAAAGGAAAGAATAACAAAGATCGAACATCAATATGTATGAATGAAGATGAACAAAAGCATCATGAAATAAAGTGGTAGCAAAATAAAAGGCACCCTTTCTGCTATGCCCCTTTTTAAAGTTTTTTTCATTTACCAAAACAACAACCTCAAGCCTAAACATAAACCAACTAAAGTGGAGTTGACCATGAACACATAACAAAACCAATGCTACCGGAACACTCAACACCAAATCCATTTCAAAAACACAGGGGAACAACACGCATAAATGAACACAACTTACAGAAACGATGAACACAACTCTCGGACCAAAATAGTTGGCAGGTGACTCGTCTTTCCTTCAGCTACACTATCCTTCGTTTCCTCAATGAGCAGTCACCCACGGCATGTATGTTCCACTCAAAGGATGCTACAACGAAGTAATCACAAAGACAAAGAAATACAGAAAATCAGTGGTAGCTTTGTCTACGACCACATGCATCACCCATGGATCTTTCTCCTTCCATCTGTTTGGTTCCACGTACCATGAATAGAGCACGGGTATTATAGGAGAGAGGTAAATAGAGAGGGGCAATTGCGTAAACATTTTGGCGCCTAAAAGATCATTTCCCTAGTTTTCTTCTTATACCAGGTCGAAGGAGGTGTTCTCAAACAGTGATTTGGAGCCGATTTTACACTGATTTCATAGATTCATGGGGAAAGCCATTGCCTTGCTTTATTTGTCAAACTCCTCTACCAAACACGTCCATCACAAATCCCCTCCTTCACTTACCCATCTATCACTCTCAGTCCACACGCACAGGAAATGCCGGCAACCAAAAGCCACATTGGAATGCAAATGGCAACTGCATTAAAAAACTATTAACAGCAACGCCATTTTTATTGTTGATGCCAAACACCATTTTTATTTTTTCCTTTCCTAAAACTCCAAATTCACCTCTTTAACTTCAAATCGAATTTGTCTGCAATTGATTGATTTTACAGCTTCACAACTTTGGCCGGAGAGGGTGGATGGAGGTGAAGAGATTTGGGAACAAGTAGAGAGAGAAGAGGAAAGGGTATTTTCGTCTAAAAACTTGAAAATATTTTCCCACCATAGATATTTTCAGAATACCATATCTGAGATGGTATTATTACTTGGAAATTTTCTTCACAAATTAAAACACCAGGAAAGTAAAATATTTAGAAAAATTTCCCACTTTCTTGTACCAAACATGAGTATATTGGAATCCCAATTTAAGTTTCCAAGGATTTTAAATTTTATCCTCCTACCCAACACCCTCCTAGTTTTAATTAGGAAAATATGTCTCTCATATTATATGAGACAAAATTATTTCACGCAATGTTATTAAAATCGGCTCGGTCATTGACCCAATCGAGGTATTGAGTCACTAGGTCGTTGGTTTAACCAGTGGGTATTCAACCGCATGACTCGGTAATAATAAGTAATTTTATAATTTACATTAAAAAATTAATAAAATTTGGAATTTTATTTTTGGTATCGGGCCAGGTCACCGGTTAACCGAGAATTTTATTTTTGGTATCGGGCCAGGTCACCGGTTAACCGATTGGTCACTGATTTTCATGAAAACCGACCGGGTCGGACCGGGTCGCACCGGTTATGAAGCATGGCCAGTCCGTTGCTTTAACCGGACCGGTTATATGACCAGTTTATCGTTCCCAGGTCAACCCGCTCGGCTCGATCCAGTTTTATTAACACTGATTTCACGCACGCGCAAAAAGTAGATAGGGCCCATCAATTTTTTTCTCTCTTCTTTTTAATGGGTCTCACCTAATTTTTTTGTGTTGTATGAGACAAAATTATCTCATACAACATGACAAATATATTTCCCTTTTAATTAACCATAAAGTTGATTTGAGATAATTTTTAGGGTTTTGCATTTCTCATTTAATAGGAGAATTGCAAAGTTCCTTCACACACAATTTGAGTGGGCCCCACCATAAACAAAAAAAATTACACGTAAAACAATGTTTCAATAATCGAAGAAAACAATTCTACAGTTGAAGGAGAAAGTGTTTTTTCATAATTTTTATGCATCACTAATAAAATAATTCTTCCGTTTGGATGAGTTTTTTTCGCCAAAAGCTACTTTTTTCCAAAAAAAAAAACTTGTATTATAAAGTCCGTTTGAATGTCTGCTTTTAAAAAAGCAGAAGTCACAAAAAAATTCAAAATCTATTTTTTTAAGTTAAATATTTTACCTTCAGAAAAAAACAGAAAGAAAAAGTCAAATATTTTTATTTATTTTTTTTAAAATGTAAATAGCTTTATCTCTTATAAAAAAAATATTTTTAAAATAAGTAAGACATAAAAATTATTTTTTTATAGCCCCATCCAATCGGGCCTTAATCCCAGGATGATACACTTGATAAATGGACTGTGCATACTCCCCAGCTGAAAGGTTTTTATTAAAAAAATTAAATTGCCTAAAGGCTTCAACTTAATCGAAATTAGTTCCATTATATAAATTTAAAAATAATTATTGATAGAATAGTTGTAAAAAAAAATTAAATTTTTTTAATACTATTACATTAATTTCATTTAATGTAAATTACATAGCTAGTAACTTTAGAATTTTATTTGTTAAAATGTGAATTAAATAGGATTTTTTAAAGGAAAAATGGTTTGTCATTATAAAGGACTAAGTTGTATTATTTTAGTTGTTTATAACCTATGTAGCACCGATACTGACACGGGACACGTGATACGACACGACACGACACTCCGATACGTTAATTCTAAAAAATGTTAGATTTCGACACGTTAAGACACATTTTGATATTAAATAATATTTTTAATTTATATAGTGTGTATTATATTTAATATTCAATATTTAACAATAAATAAAACTAAACTTATAATATTCATAAATTTTGCAAAGAAACATAAGATATCCTAAATATTTATATTAAACTCAATAAAATGGTAATCGTAATCCAACAAATCTAATAGTTAAAACTAAAAACTCAATGCAATGCAACCTTTGAACCTTTTTTTGAATTTCTATAACGTGTGTTGGAGTGTCGGAGTGTCGAAAAGTGTCGGATACGACACGTCAGGATTTTTGAAGTGTTGGTGCTTAATAGTTTATAACTATGTATTTTGGGTAGTATATAGCTATAATATTAAAGTTATACTTTTTTTCTTTCCTTAGAAGGTGCCAGCTGATGCGGAAAGTTAAAAAAAGTATAATTTTAATATTATAACTATGTATTATCGAAATATATAATTATAAGTATCTAAACGGACACACAACTTGTGTCCTGCAAAATCACAAATTATTTTCCCTTTTTAAATGGGAAAAATATGTTACTTCTTAAAGGATACAAATTTAAGTTCTTTTAAGAGAGAAATATACACAAAGAAGTGTGACTCCCACTAAAAAAATAAAAATATAAGTCCTACATTTTTATATCTATATCTCTCTTAAAAGGACATAAGTTTATGTCCTTTAAAAAAAACATACTTTTCCCTTTTGAAATCATGCTTTTGTTTTGCCAAGATTGGTTATAAATAGTGATTTGTCAATGTGATTTTTGTTATCCCATTTTTTGAATCGAATTGTGGAAAATTTTGAAAGTATGAAATCATTCCATCAACAAGCAGGCGTTTGTTAAATAGTTTTTTTTTTTATATTTTATATCTTAGGTGAGAGAAAAAAAAAGTGAAGTTCGTTTTGTTTTTTTTTAAATGTGCTTTTCAATTTATTACGTATTTAAATCTTAACTAAAAAAAAATAAAAGTCACTAAAAAGTAAAAAATGAATCCTCTCATGTGAAAAAAGAACATGATATGATCATGTGAAAAGATCATAATTATACAAAGGTAAATCAACAGTTATGATTTGTTAACTACTTATTTCAATATATTTTTTTATCTTTTCTTTTATTACCACTCATCCACCTTTATATGGTTATGATTTCCTACATGATCATGTAATTTTTTTTTTCACCTGAGAAAATCTAGATCCGAGTAGGAGTAACATATTATTGCACCAGACCTTTTTATTTTTTTACTTAAAAATAATTTCTAAATATTGCATTCAATCGTAAAATAGTTTTCATTTTAGGGAAAAAAAAATTCTTCCAAAAAAACAATGCATAAGAAATCCTTTCATAATAAGAGTATATCTAAAGGGGCCCTCAATCAATTTTGAAACAACTCTCAATATTGATTTTGTGAGGAGAATTTTAGTCTAATATCCTTGCGTTTCATATCAGAAGTAATTTACAGGGGAAGCTATCAGACATCTAATTATATTTTTTTCCAAGTTAGTATATGAAAATTGAATTATGAACACTAATTCATGATCAATAGTGTCAAGGAATTTTTTATGTGGCTTATATACATCACAAGGCAAAAGCCAAAAAGGTAATTCAACGATTCAATTTCCTATATTGTATCAAATTCATCGCCTATATGTTAGTTGGGAATCAACATTTTAAAATCGGAAGAGGATTATATATTCTTCATATTGAAGCCGAAAACAAGCATAAAAAATTCGAAGCCTTATTTTTGCTTCCCATGTCAGCAATATTATACATATAAAAGAGGAACTTGTAGAAAAAAAAAAAGAGAGGAACGTGAAATTGGAATTGACTAGTTCGAGGGACACAAGAACATGTAGAACAAATTTAAAGTACTTAAAAAAAAGTCACAAATTACAGCAGTTGTCAAGCTTTTGCGAGTCCTTTTCACCACTCTGCTTTCCAATAGCTTTTAGAAGCGCTTCAGTTACATCTCTTACATCCAGAGTTTGATCCTCAGCAACAGCAATGGCTTCCAAAGAAAAACCATTTTCACATGAAACATTCGCTTGCTGAACATCAAGACACATTTCATCAAAAGCTTCTAAAATAGCAACCAACTTGTCTCCTCCTTTCTCACAGGAGACCCTCACCACAAAAGTTCCTGTCCTTATCTTCTCTATTTTCACATCCTGTTAAAATTTTTGGAACATTAAACATACATATCAATATCATGTTATTTTTGCTAGGATTTTCATTTCTATATGCCTCTGAGAAAAGGGTAAGAGAATAAGCAGACCTTGTTGTATTTGACATGGTTCAATAGGCTAAGGTACTCTCTTCGTGTGGCTAGTAGGTTTTCATACTCTCTTTTGATATTTTCCAGCATGACCTTTAGCTTGTATATGTATTGAACAATACTCTTGGCCTTCAAAATAAACCAGCAACTTCAGTGCATGAAGAAATAAAGTTATATGTTTGTGAAATGAGGGTAAAGAAATTGGTAATAGGAGAAGTTAGATTGCTTTACAGAATTGTTGTTGTTGGTAAGGACTCGCAGAATGTGAAGTTTTCTGCGCCGTGATATCCTTTTGTGCACCTTGCAAGCCATCTCCTCTGTGTACCAGTCTCTCTATCTCTATCTCTTCCTCTCTTGTGAATGTTTAAAGTGAGAGTACTTTGTTACTAGCATCGTATTTATAGTTGGTGAATGGAGCCTTGTGTCTTGGACTCTTGCCATTTCGAGTTTATAAAATTAGGCCATTGCTACGTTCTGTCTGTCGTTTATGGAACTGAAAAAAATAAAAAAAAATAAAACCCAAAATTAAAAACTCTTTTTGGTTACCGAGTACCAACGAGTAAAGAGTTATTCCAACTTAAATGGTGTTCTCGAGTTCGAGTTCTTTGATACGTAACTGTGTTGAATTTTGGTAGAGAGAATTTTACCGCTCATATAGTCCACAGACTTGAATTAGATTAATCGAGTAATCGATAAATCAATGAATAATATTAAAAAAAATCTCATTGATTGAGAATATTCAACCTTTAAAAAATTGCAAGTTTTCTTGAAAAAGTAAAGGGTTCTATTAATTCCTGTTGCTGTAGACAAATTATCTGCAATTGACATATGCTTTTCAGGATACTGTTCCGTATCTTAAAAAACATGTGACTGCTGCACGGAACATGTGACTGCTGAAGAGACATATTTCCCAAAAATAAATCATTAAAAAGTTCTGATTAACCAGAGATGCACAGTTTTAAATGAAGTTGCGAATAACCTAACTGTTTAATAGAATTGCATTTCCTTTAAAAGAAGGGTTTGGTGTTTGTTATTTTAAATGACATAAATTATGTCATTTTATGAGATAAATTATGTCATTTTAGGAGAGAGATAGACACAGAAAAACAGAAATCATGGGAGAGAGAAAGTTGGTGGTTTTTTTAATTTAAAATTCAAATTTTCCGTGTCTGTATCTCTCTTAAAATGACATAACTTTCTGTCATTTAAAATGACAAACATTTTTCCCTCAAAACAAATACAATTTTTCGGCTTTTTGACCTTAGTAGGTTGATTTTTATAAGGTTTTACCGGAATAATTTCTTGATCAAAAGTATTACCTATATAATGCATAACGACGCGATATCATGGGAATCACGTTAGGACGTGGCACTTTAGCAACCGCGTTCTTTGCATTTGTTCCTGACGACTGGAACGTGATACCCTGACAATCACGTCCTATTCCCAAGACTACTGGAACGTGATACCCTGGCAATCACGTCCTATTCCCAAGACGCGGTACACTCTCAGCCGCGTGTCAGTGCGTCTCATCCCAAAAAAAAATTCAATAGAAAGCGGTAGTGTATATGCCGCTTTCCAAGTTACAAGTCAAGTCGGAGTCAAGCACATATATATGTTTCACCTAAAATGTAGGCATATTGATATATTCATTGTAAAAGAGTTCATAAAATCCAATAAATCAAATAGTACCCAATCTTATACCCCTATTTTGTGTTTGGTCTGCTTTCCCGATTTCCAATATGTGAAAGAAACAATTTAATCCAAAATTTTAACGTGATGAGTGAGAGTTTTTTTTAATGATTTATATTAAGGTAAACAAAAAAAATAGAATCTATGCAAAATTCATACTTCAAACCCAAAGGGCTTTCGTATGAGTGAGTGTGTAAGTGAATAACTTGTTGCTTTTATTGGATTTTTGGAACTCTTTTACCGTGAATATATCAATATGTCTAAATTTTAGGTGAAATATATATATATATATGTTTGACTCTGACTTGACTTGTAACCTGGAACGCGACTTATACACTACCGCTTCCTGTTGAATTCTTTTTGGGATGAGACGCACTGACACGCGGCTGAGAGTGTACCGTGTCTTGGGAATATGACGTGATTGCCAAGGTATCACGTTCCAGTAGTCTTGGAAATAGGACGTGATTGCCAGGGTATTACGTTCCAGTCATCAGGAACAAATACAAAGGACGCGGTTGCTAAAGTGTCACGTCTTAACGTGATTCCCATGATACCACGTTGTTATGCATTATATAAGTAATACTTTTGATCAAGAAATTATTCCGGTAAAACCTTATCAAAATCAACCTACTAAGATCAAAAAGCCCAATTTTTCCCTCAAGAAAGCATTATATGTTGTTTGAATTATAAAGATATTAAATGAATTTTTGTACTTTCCTAATCAGCTTGATAACTTTGATTTCATGAACTGATCATACCCGCCACAACAGCTTTCCTAATCAACCAAACCTGCTACAGCATTTTTGTACTTTCCAACACAGTTTTCAGCTTAAATCGTTAAGGAATATTTGTCACCTATAACTCTTCAGCCACTAAAAATGCATTTTCAACACACTGATTTAAAAATACTCAAGAGAGTACAGTGCTCTTAACACAATCTCCCTATCAAGGCCTTCGCCCAAGACTAGTCACGGAAAAGACCTAATCTCACCCTCAAATAGTTCAACTTCAATTAATATTCAATCATAGTTGAATCAATAAATGACAAAACATATTAGTTTACTAAATTAATGACCGATGTAATTTAAAAAGAAGAAGAATTCATTTACAATTTTTTTTACAAATTACACTAAGTATGACCGGTCATACACTTTTGATTGAAGTATGACCAGTTATACTTAGTGTAGTTTATAAACAAAAAATTTATAAATATAACATTCTCCATTTAAAAAATATATTATATTTTAGCATTGATGCTTTCAAGTTTCAACTCTATATGTTTCCATTTCATGGTGTTTGAGTTCAAGTGACATCCCTTCTCGGAACAGTGACCAAAGTGTCACGTTTGGACAAAAAAATTACCAGACTGTCACGCTAACAGTAAATTTTTCCAAAATGCCACGCGGTATAATTCGCTACACAATGTAGTGAATTATGCATGCAAGTAATTCGCTACACAGTGTAGTGAAATATGCCACGTCAGAACGCACAGAACCAAAAATGCCACATGTCAAATTTTGCAAAATTCGCTACATAGGGTAGCAAATTTTGCAAAATTTGACATGTGGCATTTTTGGTTCTGACGTGGCATATTTCGCTACACTGTGTAGCGAATTACTTGCATACATAATTCGCTACACTGTTTTGCGAATTATGCCGCGTGACATTTGGACAAAATTTACTGTTGACGTGACAGTCTGGTAATTTTTTTTTGTTCAAAGGTGACAAAATGGTCGATCTCCCTCCCTTCTCAATATCTACCTACCATTGCAAATGGAAAGCTCTCGGAATGCACACTAGACTTGTGAATGTGGTACAAATCATAATCACCGAAGTTGCTGAAAGGGATTGGCTGGTGTACGAATCACAGAAGCTAAACATATCCATCATGAGACTGTCAAAGTTTGCATGGGAAAGGATGTGGGAACTGAACCAGTGAGCAGTAACAGAGGATGGTCCCAATCAGAAATAATATCAGTGACTGAGTCATGTCAGGATCAGCTACTGCCAATGAATGAGGCACATACGTACATAGATATGCATAATACATGTCTGTCTTTCACTCCCTTCACGGGCTTCTGTTTCACTTCGTTCGTTCCCTTTTCTTTGTCTCTCTATCTTCTCTACCTTCTATTTCATCCCATGCCAAACCTTCACTAGCTAGTGGCCATACTTGTATCACATGCACTGACACTACTTCTGTTTGATTCTTTATATCCTTCCTTTTACGACTTCTGCCCAATCACTTTGCCTGCCCTCTACCTACTTCAATTAATTCCTAAAGTATAAATTAGGTGTTGCAACCCACAAGATAATATCAAAATAATAATAAAGACACTATATTCTTTGCTTTGATGCAAGCTTCTCCAACAATCTCATTTTCCAAGAAGAAGCTTAGTATGCGTAATATTGAGTATTTTAGTTTAAAAAATTTATACTTTGAGTTTATTAAGAAAATAATAAGATCAATTACTTGTTATATCATAACCTAAATGTTGATAAGGACGGTCACTGTCACTGCCTTATTTTGTTGGGAACATGTATCTAGCTTAGCCAGAACAGAGATATAAAATAGAATGGATAAGGGAAAGAGATTTAGAGAATTAGTATTTAATTGTTAATCGATACTGGCTGACACATAAAATGCCGTGTGTGTGTGTTTGTATAATTAATCCAATTAAGTTGAAGGAACCGTTTTGGAATAATAAACAGTGGCATTGGCTGGTCATCATTCTCTAAAGCTAGAAAAAGACAAACATATAGCACTTAATCTGCATAAAAGGCAATTGAAAGGACTTGACCATTGCTAAATTATCTCATTCTTGCACAGGCAAGCATCAGTACTAGAAGGCAAAAAGAAGGTTTGGATTTTAGTAGTTGCATCATGTCTCCTTAAATTGCTCTTACTAGCCCTGTTCTATTGTATGCACTAATATCTCTTTTTGAAGGCTATACTATATAGCTACCTATGTGTATAAGAGGACTACTTTATTGTCTCCTTATTTTCTCATGTATCAATGTTAAAAAGTTTATCCTTCCAGAGGTTGTTGTCCATTTGTGCTTGGCACGTCTTTCTCAATTCGAAAAAGGGGTTAGATTTGTATCTATTCATTGGCTTCTAGCTAAAAGCTCTATGCTTTTCATCTGCTTATCCTCCAAGGAATCCAGACTCACATGCTCAATAAAATGGGAGCAATTTGTATACAGCAAAACATGTCTATGGGCTAACATGTTCATGTCTTGGGTTTGCGCTTCGAGGAAAAGGAATTAAAAGCTCGAAAAGGATAACTAGCTAGGATATAATATAGAAGTATATATTGAACATGTTTTAGTTTTTTGATATATCATATATAAAAATGTTTGATTATGATGTCCCCGCAGCATTACGGTACATGCATCTAACGACATAGATAATACTCTGGTTTTATCACACTCCATTTTCTATTTGTTTGTACCTATAGGACGGCTATTTATATATACATTAACCCGTGCTATTATTTCAATTTTTTTTTTTTTTTTTTTTTTTTTGCGGATTACACAGTAAAAGTCAAAGTTAGGTTAAGCGCGTGTTGAACGGTTTTTTTTTTCTTTTCTAAATTTTATATTTTTAATAACTGAGTTTT